ACCACGTGGTGACTGACATCCACACATTCTCCTCAAAACATTGGATTTATCCGCGCTGTGCCGTGCCGAGGCACAACCCACATAAAGTTGATGATTCTGCGACTAACTGCAGTTGCCGATTTCGAGCAAGTACATGCAATAAAACAGAGATGGCGACAAAGAGGAAAAACTACGTACTGTAGCTTTAAGATAGTCAAAACGTTTGAATGAATCGGTTGAATCTCAATGATTCAATCATTAACAGTGACTTTCTGCCACCTACTGGCGGTTTCAATTTCACATTTAAAGTACCTTTTCTTGTTTTAAATAATTTTCAAAATACAATTCAATATTGCAAAGATGAATTTTGTTGATACTGATTTCATTTGATTGGTAACAGTCCTATTGTGTCTTGTTATAATTGAATTTGATTAAATTTATGAAATTGACACAAAAGATGATGCATGCATGCATTTAATGGCTTTATAAAAGGTAAAAATCAATTGAAACTAACTGAGAAAAAAAAAAAAAAATGTCACTGCTGTGACCTGACCACCACACAGAGTATGAAGACTTTTTATAAAAATTCAGGGCCGGCTGTCCACGACAGTCCTAAACCTGCCAAAGTACCAACACAATAAACACACTCAGCTAAATATTGTCTAATAAACTTTATCGAGAAAATCCCAGAAAATATCAAGATATAATTTGTTTTGTTAATATTGCACCTACAGGTGAGAAAGGTATTTTATTGAACAGATATGTAGCTCTCTAACAAAGTTCAATGTAAAACAGTGGCTGCATCCAAAATTGCAAACTGCCAAAAACAGTGTGTGAAAAAAGAAATATGGCCAAATTCACAGTATTCATAAAAGAGTAGTCAAAAAGTACCCGGATGACCTATTTCTTCCGGCAACATTCTGAAGTGTGCATAAGATGGATGCTATACAATCCTATGACGCCACGGGACAGGATTTATGAATGGCAGTGTAACGAAACAACTGACGCTAGGTCACATCATGGCGAATGTAGTGTGTCCAGATTTCAGTCATACTACAACAATTCATACTATATAGAACATACTTTTTTAGTTTTCACTTTCTGAGTTGTTTTAACATTAATAAGAGTTCCCTTAGCCTGTATATGGTCCCTCAGTGGCTAAAAATTTTAATTGGTGTAAACCAAGCTTTGGCTATCTTTCTTTGCCTTTGAGAAAATGAAAGCTCATTTATCTACTCCGTATGACATCATACGGAGGGAAGGTACCCTCCCCTTTCTCTGCTTTGCCCACCCTGTGGCTCACTTATGAGAAAATGAGCTAGGAAGTACGAACATGTGAGCACGATTTTTTCTTTCCTCGAGAGATATCATGGCTTGCAAATGAGCGAAGCATGGCAGTTGATCAGTGCTCGGATGGACAAATGAACACAAAAGTATTTTGAGTTCCTTCATCCGAGCCTCTGAAGAAACAATGGATTAATTTTATTTTCTATGGAAATGCGCCGACACAGCTTCCCAAAGTTTTGTATGGTCCAAACATTTCACATTTCCTCAATTTGGGCCAATACAGAGCTGACCTCGATGAACGTCTGAAAATAAATACCAGGCAACAATTTCTGATGTGTAGCCTAATTGTTCAAGTTCAGACAAGTAATCTTTCTCTCAAAATCATTCAATACTGTTTATGAATTAGTAAGTCAAGCCAGTGACTAAAATATCAACTTCACATTGTTTCTTTTAGTGGGATGAAAACAATATTATTTAAATTGTTCAAATTTAAATCAAAACAAATTATACACAGATTAAGCGATTAAAGAACGATCTTTCCACACAGCGCGAGTTTTTCTGGACAAGTCGTTATGAAATCAATGACGCACGTTACACTGCACAACGAAGCTCATACTGTACATCATTGTGTTTGCATTGGTGAAAGCATTAGAGAGAGTGCAGAAACTGCATTTCATAGAATAGATAGAGTGGCACTTCTCTTCTCCCTAGAGCAAACATCCGCTGGATGAATAGGCAAGAACGGTCACATTATGAACAGATCACAGAGAGATTACAATGAAAAGAAAAGTCTGTGTAAAATTTGCAGTTAAAAAAAGGCAGATGTGATTGGCAGAACGAACATTTTAGGTTTATAAATATTAATAATAACTATTATTAGTATATTAAGCAATAATATAACTGGTGTTAATGAGAAGGCCATGTAGAATCAAAACTCATCACAAGTGTCATGCACACAAATACAAAACAGCATCATGGTAACACACATAACACTAAAATAATGCAATTCATTTTCATTTAACCACAAGGTATAACATAAAACCCTAATGTACATAACATAACTGATAAGAAAAACTATTATATTTCAATGAAAAACCATCAAGTGTCACTCAGGAAATTGAATGTGAATTTATGGTTTTTCACTGTGAATTATAAGATGACTTGATTTTTTTTTTTCCACCACCAAAACTCACGTTAAGTTCCCTTACTATACAATGATACATATCACCGTATTAAGGGAACTTATCGTTAACCAATTAACAGGTTTTAATCAGCATGTACGGTTTTAACATGGTTAATGTTGGATAAAATATTCTCTGTGTTTCTCATTTCTCCCACTCTTTCTGTTTCTAGGTGTGGATGCCAGTTCACAGGCCAGTACTCATGAACTCACCATTCCAAATGATGTGAGCATAATTCTTTGTCTTCAGGAACCCCTCATTGGACAATTGTATCAAATAACTATTTAAGGAAGAGTCCTTGACTAGCCAAACTGACTTTACTCTGTCTGCTTTATGTTTGCAGCTAATAGGCTGCATAATCGGACGTCAGGGCACCAAAATTAATGAAATCCGTCAGATGTCTGGGGCTCAGATCAAAATTGCTAATGCCATGGAGGGGTCATCAGACCGTCAGATTACCATTACGGGAACACCTGCCAACATCAGCCTGGCACAGTACCTCATAAATGCCAGGTGAGTTTCAAAGCAAGCAATAACATGTTTCTAAAAACAGATGAACAAGATTTTTTATTTCTTAATTAGAAAAGAAAAAATAGACAGGTAAAAATATTGTTAAGTTACAGCTCAATACGATATATACTGTAGCCTATAAACGATCAGGTGGTCTTCATCAGGCACATCATTTCTTAATTAAAATTAATTTTAATACTTTATTTAAAAAACACTAGTATGCAGAGCCTCACGACTGTAAGTCAAGGTCAAAATTATCAAAACAGTCACTGTCATTATTCTATGACAAGGCAAGGTTAGTTCAACATTTATGTTTCTTTAGGTCACCAAGGTTTGGTTTATTTGATAAAAACAGTAATATAATAAATCTTATTACAATTTAAAAATAATACTGTATTATATTATATTTTCTATCTAATATTATATTTTCATTTTAAAATGAAAATGTTTTCCTGAAATGGCAAAGCTCCATTTTTAACAAGCCTTCAGTATTACATGATGGAACAAGAACAAGAAATTGCTAGTTTAATAGGGGAGCGCGGAGCACAACCTAACGCGGGGTTTAATGTGACACGGACTTTTGACATACTGTTCGTCAGGATCAAACCGGCCGTCTTTCCGCTCTTTTTCTCTTGCTGCCAGAAGATGGTCTCCCGTGAATTTGCCGAAAGTTTTGATTATATTTCGTGAAAATACTGGACAAAGAGTGTTTTGACACCATGCATGAAAGTAATTTTTTTTCATCATAGATTTTTTTCGGAAGCCATATAGCCTATATATATGAAGAGTTCAGATGCAAAAGCCTCTAAATGCCATTTGAAATTTTCTTCTTTAATGATGATTTTTATCAAACTTGTATATTTAAGTTCAGTAATTTCACTTAATGGCAATGATAATTACCTATTAATTGTTATTTAAGTAAAATTACTGAACTTAAATATACAAGTTTGATAAAAATCATCATTAAAGAAGAACATTTTTTTGTTTTCTTTATCATGAACATTCTTATTTGTCATTGATTCGATGCAGTACATGCACTCTTCTATAGAAATGGTTCTCTCAAAAAGCTACTCTCAATGCTGCGCTTCATTTAAGCACTATGGGAACGAGAATACCAACACCGCCGCACTGGAAGTGTCTGGACCCCTCAAGGTTGTGAAGTGTGCGCACGAACACGAAGGGATTTGTCGACTAAAGGACACGTGAGGAATAAGGTTTCCACCATGAATTAAGTCACCAAGAAGGTCCTTGAAAAAGGGGAGAGACCATCTCCCTGGACAGAAATCTTCTCTACTGTGAGCGCTTGCTCTTTCTCCTGTGGCCAGTCTAGTTGTAATCTGGCCACTGCATGAGTGACTACCTCGAGTAATTCCTCATGCGCTTCATTGTCATGTAAAGAAACGCTTGGAGATGGCGTTCTCAAAGTCCATCTCCAGTTGGCTATTTCGCCTTCATATAAGAGCAGTTTCAACAGAGAATCATGAAATCATTGCTTGCAAACACACAGTTTGTTTGCACACAATCATAGGAGAGAGAAAGGGAACCTCCCGTCTACTCAGTTCCCTCGCATTATCCGGCTGGCTGGCGAGATCCGAGACAGTAGATTCTTTATTGAGAAGAGAACCCACATTCTCTGCCAGCTCTAAAGAAGCGTCATCTTCAGCAGCAGACGAGAGCACGTTGAGATCCAGAGAGAGACTGAGAGAAAGGGAAGGACCCGTCTCCCGCTCCTAAGCCAGATCACCATGCGAGCCCAATGTTTTCATCATCAAGGAAATGCAGGGTCACTCTTCCCTAAGACATTCTGCGTCCTAAAGGGCTGCTACAGCATGCTTTTCCCAAACAAAATTCATGCTGATCATCATCCGAATATGGCCGTGAGCAGGGTGGCACACATCTCTTTGATGATATCTCGACATTATTCTCTTTTCTTTTTGTTTTCAGAGAAAGAGGAAGAGAGTGAGAAAAGGCTTTTTCCTGCTTGACAAAACTAACTTAGCAAAAGGAATTATCACTCCCTCCAGGAAATAAACGAGACCATGGTTCTGGTTACTGATGGATTTATTACAGTTGTCATCTTTCTCTCCTTCGTCACATTCACCATCAAAATCCACCGTCAAACTACAGTATGACAATGCACAAGATAAACACATTCACAAATATTAGAAAGAAGTAAATACAAAAACACTTCGGGAATATGAACATAATACACATACCTCGCTGGCTGCATTTAACCCAGAAGGAAATGAGTTCACTTGAAACACCCGGCTCAAAAGGAAAACACAAAAAGCATCTTTACTTTTATCTCAGAAAAACGTGTAAAACTTCTATTCCACACGCAGAGAATAACTTCTGACCAAAGTCCGTTCTTTCCTGTTGCATCTCAAAAAAGCGTCCGTGTGCAACACACCTTAAAATTAACGCACTTTAGTTCCCAGTCAACATAAACACTCAACATTCACGAATAGATTAAGCAAACATAACAAAAAACATGTTCAATAACAGAAATAATATGTATGGCAGTTATAGGAATAGTTTGGGAAGAGGTTTGAAAAGCACACACGGCACACAATGCGGTACTGAAGACAAAGGAACCTAATGAGCGCACCCGTCACGCACCCGTTTGACCGTGTTCCCAACTGGTCAAACAAACATGTTTTCCCATAGCGCTTAAATCAAGTGCAGCATTGAGAATAGCTTTTGAAAGGGAACAGGTGCTTTGTGGATTTAGTTTTAATTCATTATCTTTTAATTAATTGTAAGACTTTATCAAAAAAAAAAAATGAAATAATCCATTACACATGAAAGTATGTAATCAAATTTCTCCCTATAGATCCTTTTTGGCATAAAGGGTTCTTTAAAATTGAGTCAAGAACCCTATAGATGTCACAAACTGCGGCTGTAAGTGCATGACAAGTGAGTGAGTGTATGGGTTCCGTGTGATACGCACGGTTCCGTGCCGTTGGCTAAAAAAAAGTCCTCGTCGGCTTTGTTTCGCCCGATTCGACATGTTGAATCGGCGTCGGGCCATTGGGGAAAGAGAGATTGGCTTTGATTGGCTATTCAGCTTAGTGAAAGAGTCAGTGCACGAGAATAAAAGCAAAACAGCAAGCAAAGAAGTCAAAACGGTAAAGATAGAAGGCTGTTCTTATGTTACGTCTTCTTACCTGAGTGTTCCTTGGCGAATATTTCAATATTAACATGAGCGGAGTGGAATATAGAAAGTATTTAGCAGGATTGATATTCAAAACGGTAAGCACGCGCTGCTTTGTTAACCGTTATGTGTATCTGCAGCCGGCAGCGTCGGTTTTCCTTTTTGAATGACGAATATAGACTAATATATCTGCAGAAATAGACAGTTGGCTCATTAAACGCAGGCGCAGAACGCACATTCTAGCTGACAGTCGGCTGCAGTTCTTTCGGTGTGTTCAAGTGCAGCTTTTTACCTCGACGAGAGCGGACGAGAGACGACAACACAGTCGGCTTTCATCAGCGCTAGTTCGTTGGCGTCGGCTTGGTGCGTTCTGGGCTTTAAACACACTAGATACAAGAACCAGAAACAAGTGTGTAACTTAATCAGAAACCATGGAAACAAACTAGTAACAAGAGCTTATTAAAACAGTGACAGGGAACAATGAAAACGAAACCAAAACAGAACATGACTGTGAAAATAGAACACCGTTGAACCTTTTTTTTTTTTCTTTTCTTTTAAAAGTGTGATTACATGTTTTTGTTATACTCTCTGCAGGTTCAGAGATGTGGCAGCCATGTGGACTGACCCTTCAACCATGACAACCTCCTGAAGTCACATTATGCTCTGTTTAGACGATCTGTTCTTGAACTGTTTTGGGCCTCATCAGTTTTCTTAAAACCTGGGAATTATAGTTTGTTCTTCAGGATTTTTGAATTGTATTTAGTGTAATTCAGACAGTCAATTAACTCATTCCATAAAAAAAGCTTCACCCGAAAAGAGCCTGTTTTTATTATCTACACTGAAAGTTCTCTACAATCTAAAATATTATAATAAGCAACATGTATTTAGGTAATTGTGATGAATTGTCTTATTAATTAGATATAGTTTAGAGTTTTAGCACTGAAACTTAGCATGCTGAATGTCTAGCAGTTGTTATTGCTCTTATTTATTTAAATGAACTGCTTTCTCGATATTTTATGGTATATTAAAAAATGTAATCAAGTTATCATTCATGTAATGTGAGCAATAAATTGTATTGAAATGCGCTTTATTTAACTTCCTTAAGTGGCAAAACAGGCCATCATAAATGTTGTGATTTTAGAAAAAGAGAAAACTGATTTCCAATTCATTTTAATTATGAAACAAAACTGTTTTACAGTGAGGATGACACCAGTGTAAATTCATTGTCAGTTTATAATTTATAACACACAATATATTTCATACATCATTGATTTTTTTTGGGGGGTATCACTTTACAACAATGTTTCATTTGTTAGTTAATTAGTTAACAAATGAACAGATGAACGTGTTCATTACACAAACTAACAATGAACAATACTACAGCCTTTATTAATCTTATTTAAAGTTAACCTAAGCATTTACTAATACATTCAAGATCAAAAAAAAAAAAAAAAGTTGTATCTGTTAAAGAGTTAGTTCAACCATAAATGAAAATTCGGTCAGTAATTACTCACCCTCATGTTGTTCCAACCCCGTAAGACTTTCGTTCATCTTCGGAACACAAATTAAGATATATTTTATCAAATCTGAGAGCATGATTACTCCTTCATAGGCTTCTAGGCAATTTCATTCTGCCAGTCCAGAAAAGTTAGTAAAGACATCGTTAAAATAGTCCAGGTGACTACAGTAGCTCAACCTAAGTTTATCAAGCCACGAGAATACTTTTTGTGCACAAAAAAAAAAAAAACCCACTAAAATAACGACTTTATTCAACTATTAATTTCTTCTGTGTGGGCTTCTGACGGCGCGAGAACTGAGAAGATGGCACTCACGATCATTTGATGGGAAAGTTTGAAAGGTAAACCATTCATTTTGCTGCATTGGTAAGGCACTTTTACGTTTACTCGTTGGTTTCTCACGATTGGGACATCCAGGGAATGCACAAACCATTTTAAACACTACATCGAGACCCATGTGTCATCTTGTGTCAGTTCACATGCATGCGTCATGGAGCTCTCGTGAACTCGCGTCAGAGGCCCAAGCGGAAGAAAATTATTTTTTTTCAAATGAAATGAAGTAACCCTTTAACATTAGTTAATGCACTGTGGACCACAGTGAACATTTTGCATTAAAACGGTTAATAAATGTGGGGGGAAAAGTGTTAGCGAATATATTGCTCATTGTTGGTTCATGTTAGTTAATGCATTAACTAATATTACCAAATGATAACTTATTGTAAGGTTTTACACATTTTTTTTCTTCTGGTACTAAAAAAATGTATATTCACCATTTCTTCAATTACAAACCAGGTGAGCTAGTCATGTGCATGTGGATTAACAATGTTTAGCCTTTCGAAAATACTGATTGTTTAACTTTTGACATTTTACTTAGATAAACTTTATTGATGTTGACTGTGCTTCAAGTAATGTTGCTAGATTATGAAGCAATGTACTGTTTACATCTTTATTTAATGCTGTGTTGTGCACTGCAATAATGTGAATAACTGAAAGTGTGACAGTGTCACATTAGTTCAGACAAGACATAGTTAATAAAGTTTAACTAAATCATCAGTGTACCACAGAATCAAAATTTTTGGCAATGCAATTGTGATTATACAGTAAGGGAGCAAGTAATAGAAGTTGATTTGAATGTAATGAAGTGTCTTTTTAACAGGTCATTTGCTGTTTAGCGTGTCAAATGCACCCCCAGCTCCAGACAGATGTACAGTACATACATTTACTCAAGGTCTTTAGGTTTTCTTTTCAGCCTTGTTTCAATAGATAGTGAATACATTGTGAGTTGGATTCATAAGTTGTATTATGCTCTATTTTAACAGTTCTCTGTTCAGAATGTTTATTATTTATATCAAAGAGATGGGCTTTGATGAGTTAAAATGTAATGTAGAATTAGTCCATGTATGCATTTTGGTGTTGACTTGTATTTAAGACTTTATGTGATAATTATTATGTGACATAAAATCTCATTTTATTGCATTGCAAGAGTTCTTAATAGGAAGTACGTGAATATGTAACTGTTTCTGTCATTTCTAGTTGCTATATAGACCATTAATTGTGCCGCAGTGACACATTGACTTGTGTATTCCCATGTGGTCTGGATTTACAAGCATTCTGAATGTCTTGACACAGTCTTTCTATATAACAGGTTATGACACTGGGCTTTAGTGTTTGTTTATTTATTTATTTTTTCTTATTTATTAAGGGAAATTTTCCATGCTGAGTCTAATATTTCCAACAAAGACACTTAGGTTTATATGTTTGCTACTGAATGACTCATGGTTTGACTTGCAGAATGCTTTCATTTGCATAATCTGTTTTTTCTTCAATAAACTCTCTTGATCTCGCATGGGTGCTGTTTATTTTCATGTAATCATTTTTCAATACTCTTTAGGTTATTCGGATATTTGTCATTATTAAGTTGATCTAAAAAAGTCATGCTACAAACTGGTGTACAGTAAACCATGTAAATTAATGTTTTCTCACATTAATAACTGTGTATAGTGTTTGATTTAAAGAAAAACTGATAACTGATAATTAAAGTAAAATTGTCAAAAAAATCTGTTTGTCAGACTCAGGTTATATCAGTAACCTTGTTATATTTTGTTTTAATTTGGTGTTTCCACAGAGCATTTGGGTGAGAAGTGGAGCATGTGTATGTGACAGATGTGCAAGGGGAAGCACTCTGTGCTGAATATCACCAGATCCATGACTTAAAACACTATTTTATCAACCCCCTTAGTTTACAGTTCTTTATAGGGAATACACACTAACAATAAAAATGTTAACAGCACAGTGTTACCGCCCTTTGTATCCAGACCTCACATAGTGAAGTTGCTGGAAAGCTCATTTCCCTCCTGTTAACCTTTCTCCCCCCACTTTCTTCGCATTACACATTCTTCTCTTCACCAGTTCACTTAGAAAGATTATATAAAAAATTATAATTTTCTAGTGATTAAAAGTCATTTTCAATTCATTAACAGTCATGTTTGGTATATTTTAAAATGTCTCAGTGCGACTGGAACAATGGTCTCATCTCCACAGAAGTAAACCAAATGGTAGTAAGGGTTTAGAGATAATTTGCAACATGAGTGTGCGCCTTTTCCAAGGGTCCTTCACCCAAACTCCCTCCTGTTCCTCGACAAGGTATGAAGTTGAACTCCCTGTGTCTATAACTCTAGTCAATGCAAATTC